CATTCTAACAGCACCGTGTTATCTTACTTGCTCGACCGGTTTTTGTAAGAAATATATTGTCAACCTTTTTGCCGTCTTTACTACTGCATTATTACATGATGAAGAAGTGTGCTATTTGTGACGTACAGTTCAAGGATGGAGCGCAGTGTGTTTGCTGTCGAAATGACTTGGACTTTGGCTGTGCCAGTATTTCTGAAGCAGGTTGGCGAAAGCTAGGCGCAGACAGAAGGGCCCAATGGAAATGTCCCAAGTGTAGGGCTTCCTCACCGGTGGTGTCTACTGAGCAGCCTGCCACTCTAGATACAATTTTAGCTGAGATACGTGACATGAAGTGCCAGCTTGAGGCCCTGCCTACCTTACTGGAAGATATACGGGAAATCAAATCCGAGCTGCTTGAATTGAGGGACGCCTGTGCCCACTCAAAAGAGAGGCTTGAGGGTCTCAATAATAGGCTCACTGAACTCGAAGCTAAGTCTGTTAATTTTGATAAGGCCCTTGGTACAGCTAACTCATTGCATGATGATCTCGCTAAGGTGAAATACGACTTGAACGCACAGGAGCAACGCTCGCGCTTAAATAATGTTGAGATTAAGGGAGTCCCGTTGAAGAAGGACGAGAATTTATTTTCAATATTAGAGGCTATTGGTCGTAAAGTCAATTACACTTGTCCTAAGTCCCAGGTCAACTACATATCCAGGGTACCTACATATAACTCCAATGAGAAGTTAATAGTCGTCAGCTTCTTAAATCGATACATCAAGGAGGATTTCATAGCTGCTGCCCGGTCAACAAAAGAACTGTCGGACATACAAGGTAGCAAGCGCATTTATGTTAATGACCATCTTAGTGTGGACTACAAAAAGTTATTAACACGAACAAAAAATGTTTCTAAGGAAAAAGGCTATGAGTATGTTTGGGTGAAGCACGGTAAAATTCATGTGCGCAAAAACAACACTTCAAAATCCTTTGTCATAAGACAAGTAACAGATTTAAACAAAATTATTTAGTATGTAACTTGTTTGTGTTTTATATAGTGTTAGTTTATTTTATTCTGTATGTAGTGTTCACTTTTATTATTGTACTTCAATTAGTTTGTAAAAGGTTCAGCACCCCTGCCGCACTATTAAGCCGAACGCACTTGTTTTCTCAACCTACCCTCTTTTACTCTTTTAGTCCCGCTGTTTACATATTAAGAAACCTCCCAAGAAACTTATCCTACCCGCTTGTGCTTATGTTACGGACATATGGATTGAACTACTGTTTATGTGTTTGCTCAGTTCGATACTTTTTAGCGTCAGATAGCTTTGTCATTATTTTGAACGTGTCGCGATTTGACCTGCTGCATACGTATATTATATTCCCAACCTTATTTGAGCGTCAATATTGGTATATACTTACCATTTCAGAGTTCAACAATATATTATTATTATTGCATTATATACTTTCTGTTGTTAAATCGCTCTGTAATGGCTAATATGGATTGTTTAAGCATTTATTATCAGAATGTACGTGGGTTGAGGACGAAAACGGATTCCTTCTATCGTCAAGTCTTATTAAATGCATATGATATTATAGTTATAACAGAGTCATGGCTATCAGACGGTATTCAGGAATCGGAAATCTTTGATGAACGGTATGTTGTATGGCGTCGAGACCGAGATTATGCTTCTACTGTACAGAAATTCGGAGGAGGTGTGGTAATCGCGACGCGTAGGGAACTCGCGGTTGCGTCACAAACTCATTTATTTTCCTCAGCAGAAGACCTCTGCATTAAAATACAGCGAAATACATTTGACTCAGGTGACTGTACGAGCCTATACCTTGGCGTCCTTTACCTATGTAATCAAAAGAATGGACTCTCGTTTTATTCTCAACTTAATAACTTTCTGGCGAAATGGAATGATCTAATATTAAATAACCCTGCTGACCGTTTCCTTATCCTTGGAGATTTTAATTTACCTCACATCTCTTGGACTCCGTCAGGTGACGATATGCCACTTATACCGAGTAATTATACATCAAATAATGAGTGTCTATTTGTTGATGAAATATGCACCATGGGTCTAGGCCAATACAATGGAGTTCCTAACGAATTAGGTAGAATGTTAGATTTAGTTCTCTCGAATGACTTAGTTGTTGTTCAAAAGTGTTTGGATCCCTTGGTTCGCGAGGACTCACATCACCCAGCCTTATTGGCCAATATCAAAATTTTAAATATCCCTATTTTGAACTATGCGCCTCGCCTTAGGTACTTATATAGTAAGGGTGATTTCCAGTCGATCAATGATGAAATCAATGCTATTGACTGGGACTGCGAATTCTCCTCTCGCTCAATGGACGACTCCGTTGAGTTTTTCAATAATACTATAACTGACCTTCAAATTAAATATGTACCACGTAGACTTGAACGAAAGGGTAAGTATCCAATTTGGTATACTCCATCATTAATCAAAGCCCTTAACGAAAAGCATAAATATATGAAAAAGTTTAGAATCTACGGTAACTTAGCTGACAAAAACGCCTTTAAAATGTTACGCGAAAGGACTAAGTCAATGGA